GTGGGCACTGTGAATATGTCTATCCTCTAATATCAAATCGAGTAATAAAAGATGGAAATAGTCTCAATGCACACCTCAGACTAATAAATAAAGGGGACGCCTTTATTTACATTTGATAGTGAAGTGTTGACATATGTGTATTTACAAACATTGGTACTTTGTGATGTCCTTGACACTGATGCCAATGTTACATTTTTATCTTTATAGCTAGGTACAGCGGTCATCACGGCATGCGCACTTGTATAATAATCATGATTCCGTGGCGGCCTTTTCAATAGATGGCGCACATGTACTATTGTGTAGGGCTCTATGTGCATAGATAAATGAGTCTACCTAATTTACCGGCGTGCTGTCTGTTGTCAGTTCCATTATCTTTCAAAATTTCAAATGTGTTTGAGATTGTAGTGGAAAGATTATCGTGGCGTATATTTTATGATTAAATAGTTTTTCCTGATTTCTAAGTTTAGTTTTTATTGTGATTTTATGGACTAGTATAATACCTAGTCCTAGTGTGTTTTTCAGTTTATATTAAGGTAAGAAGTAGGTTAGTAACTAATGCACTTGGTTGTGACTACTACTTACATAATAATATTAATTGTACAGTTTTATTCCTATTTCAGTTTTTATGATGGTTAAATTAAGTTACTGCGCTGTTGCTGGATGCAGAGATATGGTGTCAACAAGGCACCGATTTACGTATCCTAATTACAATAATAAGGATTTATAAAAATGGGTACAGGCATGGTGGTAATGAAAAATTATTTTCTCTTGCACATGAGCAAGTATATAGGACTAGCAGGGTGTGTCATCACTTTAGACCTGAAGATGGATCCACAAATATGTACTTGAAGAAAGGCTCCTATCCCATGCTATTCTTACCGTCCTCTGCTTCTACCTCAAGTGCACGTTCAGGTAAATACATTGGTATACTTTAACAAATCTAATTTGGCTCGTGAGATGTGCAAAACAAGAAAAGAGAAGAAGCTGTGTGTTACGAATAAAGGAGTAAGATAAACATACAGCGAAGGTCAGGCATATCTAACGACAAGTTATATTTGTTGTTTTACATAATTTATTAAAAATGCACTTGCATATTATATACCTATAAAATGTTCTTTTGTATTTTAGAGGAAGTACTGGGAACTGAAACTGTTCGTGAACTTTCTACACCAGAACCTCGACCAGAACTTTTGTGTACTACTCTCAGTAAGTGTTTTTGTTTAAATATAATAATTGCATATCTGCATATAGTGTGAATATTATGAAAAAAGTTGTTTATTAGCCTTTTTGTACAATTCGTGTAGTTATAACATATTTATTCAACATCGCGAAGCGATAGGCTGTCTATCAGCATTTAATTCTGCCACGATAACATTCGAAAGAACTAAAGCTGTCGACTTGAAATTTCGTACAGGAGTGGAGACCCATAAATACTCCATTGGGATTGTTTTTAAGCAAAATCAGTTTAATAGAAAAGAGGATGAAAAATAAATTACGATTGTCTCGGAAATAGCCTTGTAATATATAATTTGTAGCGTTCCAAAATATGCTGCTTCCAATTCTAGTATTATTTTCACCCTAAAAATAAGGTAGTGAGTGGAAAGAATATGTAAAGTGGGAACGGGTAGTAAAAATGTTTTTTTTAATGTATTTTCAAATTTCAATAATAAAGAATTATTTTCCAAATTTTATTTGAAACGTGATGTGGAATTACTGTTCCCATTGGCAGCGGTTTTTTCTATTTAATAAAATAGGTTTAATACTTAGATAACATGATTTTTTACAGAACATTCACTTCCTTCCACTTCCACTTCATTATTGGCTGATGTTGGTGTATTTAGAGAAGTACAACTAACCCCTAAGGCTAGAAAACTGTACAGAAGGGCCACAGGCCTGTTAAAGACAATGAGAACACTAAAAAGTCATAGAGCAAAACATCCTAGGAAACGGCTATATGAACAATTTACAAAGGATGAATTTCTAGAACACGTAACTACTCCATTGCCAAACTCAGTTGCAACTTTTATACAGTGTCAAATAACCCAGAGTACTAGAAGGCGCCACGGACGAAGATATTCTATAGATCAAAAAGTTCTGGAATTGGTTTTACCAAAGCAGAGTGGCAGAGCATATAAAACTATACAAAAATTGTTTTATCTTCCATCCAGAAAAACGTTATCAACATTATTACATCATATTCCTATTGGTGCTGGTATTAACGATCCGATATTTGACAACTTGAAGGCAATTTCAGCCTCGACTTACTTTTTTCTACATGTTAATTTGTAATTCTACTTATATGATCACCTAAATAAACTCATATTACTTTATTAATTGGACTTCATGATTTTTTTTTATATGTGTAAATATAAATTGGTGACTTCTTTTTGTAGGTGCTTTGTTTATTTACTGATAATTGATTAATATATATTGTTTTGATTTTTAAACTTTAAAATACAATAATTATTTAGTGTTAACATCTAGGAAAACAAGTTTACAGATGATTGGACCAGAATAAAATTACTTTTATTTTACAGTTTTCTTGCCAATGTTTCGGTGACTGTTTCAAATCTATTTAAGAGCTAAAATACATAGGTAGTGGAAATATGTGTATATAAATATTTCTACTATGTATTGTAGCCCTGAAAAAGGTGACAAATACTCACTAAAACATTGACAGTAAAAACTGTGAACTAAAGAGTTATTTTATTCTGATCCAAGCTGTGAACTTGTTTTCCAACTGAAAAAATTCATAAAAATATAAATTATATATACACATATCTCCCCCAATAACTTATTGTGACCCCTATCTCCCCTATGTCTCAAACTCGGGCGGACTTCTCGTCAGAGGGCGCCCCATATGGCATCAACATAGATAAATATAAATATAGAACGAGTTTAGACGACTGCGCATCCACATTTTCGGGCGTTCATTGGGTGCTGCCATATATGTTTTGATGTCCGCCATTTTGAGCCACGTGTCATTGGTTACGCGTGTATTGTTTACATTATTCTATTTTTAATAATTTTTCGTTTTTTTCTGTGTTCTGTTTTTTCCTGTGTTCTTGTGTTTATGTTGTATTTATTATTAAAGACTTTTTTATTAGTATAATAATAGTTAGATATATTGTGTTTCTTTTTTTTTTGGATAGAGGTAAGTTTATGGTTTATTTTTGGTAGGTGAATTTTTTTAATATAGTCTTTATACAGTCATGTTTGTTTGGTTCTAGTTTTCAACAGAACATGGCTTGTAAAGTTCCTCGATGTAAAAACGTGAAGAGATTAAACAATCCAGAAAGCGGTATAACATTCCATAGGTAAATTATTTAAACATTTTGAACTGTTTTGTATTTGAGGAAACTTTTTTAAGACTAATTAATATACTTGTAGGTTTCCTAAAGGTGAACGCTTCAAGATCTTTAAGGAAATAATAGGCCTTCCAGATTTACAATGGGGCCCAAGAAAATATATTTGTTCTGACCATTTTTTAGATACAGATTTTTATCCAGGTGAAAAACGAATTTTAAAAAATGTTGCCGTACCATCAAAACATTTATTCCAGATGGAAGTTTGTGAGGCATCAAGTGATACTTCTTGTCCTTCAAAAAGAAAACACGAATTGCCTTCAAATGAAACTGGCCATAAAATCTTATTAAGAACTAGGTATGTACTGTAATATCTGTTATTATCATTTAATTTGTACTATTTTGTTTGATTCACTAATTACAAATTACAGAGCAGTTACTCCTGCAACATTATCTTCTCCAGACAGAAAATTGCCAAGTTCATCAAGTCCTACTGCGTCTAGTGTCACAAGCTCGCCCTGTCAGAATAAGGAAACTTTCAGGTGGGTAATGGAAGTTATATTTATTTTTAATTAATGTTGTATACATCCTTGATATTTTTTTAGAAAACCTGTAATAACGGAGTCACCTGGTACATCATCCGCTAGTACATCGAGCAGCGTGAAGCAAAAGAGAGTAGCATTAGTTCGATCTCTACATAGTTATAGGTATATTTTACATTTATACTGAAATAGAAATAATATACGAATAAAATACTTAAGACAAATAATATTTTATGTCTATTTTAGTTTAAGCCCAGGAAAGGAATGTAAAAAAAAGTAGAAAAAAAATGCAAAAAGCTGATTAGTGCACTTCGTAAAAGTCCAAAGAAGGTGCGGAATTTTCAGAAAAAAAATATCTGCAACAAGTTGTAGATGACTTGAAGGCAAAAGAAATGATGTCGGTTACTGGTTTGGACAAACTGCAGCGAATTGCAAATGAAGTTCCAAAAGATTTGTTGTCTCGGTTCTTAAAGAATGTGGAGAGAGGTTCAACATCTCGGGAAGAATATCCGCCAAGCTTAAAAAAATTTGCAATGACTTTACAGTTTTTTTCCTGTCGAGCTTATGAATATGTTAGAGAAACATTTAATTTAAGTTTACCTCATCAAGTCACATTACGGAAATGGTGTGCCACTGTTGAATGTGAACCAGGATTTTCACAAATATGTTTTGATTTATTAAAGAGTATTGGTGATAAAAGTGAATCGAATTTAATTTGTAGCTTACTATTCGATGAAATGGCGATTAAAAAAAAAATTGAATTTGATGGAAAAAAAACATGGGGATACATAGATTTTGGAATTCATATGGAAGATGACGATGTGGAACCTGCCTCAGAAGTTTTAGTACTAATGATTGTTTGTCATACAGGTAGTTGGAAGCTGCCTTTAGGATATTTTTTTATTAAATCCTTGACTGGTCAGGAAAAATGCAATATCATTAGAGAGGCTTTAGTACGTTNCAAAATAAAATAAGTTCATTACTAAAATATAAATGAAATCCGAAAATAAAAAAAAGGTTCATTACAGAGTAGCTTCCAATGTACATTTTACTTACGAAGAGATCCATACTCTCTTATGCCAAATTGAATCCATCTTAAATTCCCGACCATTATTACCTCTTTCTAATGATCCTGACGATTTGGAGGTCTTGACACCCGGACACTTTATTATTGGTACTTCGTTGCTTGCTTTGCCTCAAAGTAATGTGCAAGATAAATCAATTTCTCTGTTAAAACGTTATGAGCTGCTACAGCATTTAGTACAGCAGTTTTGGTGTAAATGGTCCAGGGATTATTTAAATTCCCTTCTACAAAGGCCGAAGTGGCAACAAAGGGAACCGTCCAATATCAAAATAGGTTCATTGGTTATTTTAAAAGAAGACATCTCCGTGCCTCAACAGTGGCCAATGGGAAGAGTCATTCGTCTTCATCCCGGAAGTGCTAAGTTCGTCCGAGTAGTTACCGTTAAAACAGCAAAAGGTGAATTCAAGCAAGCCCTTAATCGTGTTTGTGTTTTACCAATTGATTGTGAGTAATATTTATAGTAATAAGTTAAGAAAGCTTCACTTAATGCAATTTGAATGTTAAGATTTTAATTNGTGATAAGTTCGTCCGAGTAGTTACCGTTAAATCAGCAAAAGGTGAATTCAAGCAAGCCCTTAATCGTGTTTGTGTTTTACCAATTGATTGTGAGTAATATTTATAGTAATAAGTTAAGAAAGCTTCACTTAATGCAATTTGAATGTTAAGATTTTAATTAGGTTTAAAACTGTTTTCTGTTAACCTCATCACTGTATGTATTTCATATTTTAGTTAGTAGTAGTAGAAGATGACGATGCGGAACCTGCCTTCGTAGTTTTAGTACTAATGATTGTTTGTCGTACAGGTAGTTGGAAGCTGCCTTTAGGAAATTTTTTTATTAAATCCTTGACTGGTCAGGAAAAATGCAATATCATTAGAGAGGCTTTAGTACGTTTAAATGACGTTAATGTTGATGTACCATCAGTTACTTATGATAGCCCTGCCACTAATTTCTCAATGTTCCGAGGACTTGGTTGTAACTGGGACGATTTAAATAATATTAAATCGTTCTTTCTACATCCTTCAACAAGTACCAAAATTTATGCAGTAATAGATGTGTGTCATTTATTGAAATTAGTGAAGAACAATTTCGCATATCTTAAAATAATGTTTGATGATAATAAAGACGTGATAGAATGGAAATACATCGAAGATCTTCACAACATTCAAGAACAGGAAGGCCTTCGAGCTGGAAATAAATTGAAAACTGCACACATAAATTGGGAAAACCAAAAAAATGGAAGTAAGGATAAATAAGCAAAGTTTTGATTTAATTTAAACAGAATTTGTTTTTATAAAATTACAATATTTTTCAGGTGAGTTTAGCTGCACAAACTCTAAGTGGAAGTGTAGTAGATTCGCTGGAGTTTTTAAAAGAGGATCTTAAACTTGAAAATTTCAAGAACTGTCAAGGAACTGTTAGATTTATCAAAATAATTAATCAGTTATTTGATATTTTAAATTCAAAAAATCCATTTGCGAAAGGATATAAATCAGCGTTAAGAAAACAAAATAAGTGTATATGGCAAAATTCTTGTAGAAACACAAAAATATCTATTATCATTAAAAGATAGTAGTGGAACGTATTTATGGGAAACAAAAAAGAAAACCCCCTTTTTAGGATTTGCACTAACCATTCAGTCGGTTTTAGGAATTTTCTATGATTATGTAGAAACTGAAAGATTAAAGTATTTTTTAACATATAATATTAGCCAGGACCATCTATCTGGAAATGTTTTTCTGCAGTATACGGTATAATATTTTATATTATTAATGTTTGTTTAAAACAACACAATTATATTTAAAGATATTTTTTAAATTGAGTCACTCCTAGTTGGTAGATATAATAGCTGGATCACTCTCACCAAGGCACATGTATGAGAACTAACAAGTTCGAAACTGGTCTATGTCTGGTGTTATTGCTATTAAGTGATGTTTGCTACGAACCAGATATTACGAGAGTAATTAAGTTGTGGTCGGGGTATTAATCGGCATAGTAATTGTTTCTCATAATATTACTATTTGAATATTTTTTGTTTAAATTGTTTCATACAATTTATTTTAGATCTCGAAATGGATGGAATGACAATCCAACGCAATTTTACCACTCCTATAGAAAATTACTATTACATGCAAGAATTCCAGGAGAAGGTGGTAACTGTAGAGTGTTAGGTACAACACACATTTTGGATATAGGGGAAAAAAATATTCCCATTCATCCAGAAGATGTATTACATAGTAGAAAATATTATATCGAAATAGAAGAAACAAGTTCCCTGAAAGATCATGATTATGATATTTTAAATATTCAACTCCATTTAGATACATATGTTGAAAACGTAGTTACGTACATCAGTGGATATGTCATAAAATGATGTATAGA